TGTGTTACAGTGGAGTAAAAGTGTGTGTGTGTTAGAGTGGTGTGTGTTACAGTGGTGAGCCAGTGTGTGTGTGTTAGAGTGGTGTGTCAGTGTGTGTGTCAGTTTATGTGAGAGTGTGTTAAGAGTGGTGTGTCAGTGTGTGTGTCAGTGTGAGAGAGTGTGTGTGTCAGTGTGAGAGAGTATGTGTTACAGTGGTGTGTCAGTGGTGTGTGTGTTAGAGTGGTGTGTGAGTGTGTGTGTCAGTGTGAGAGAGTGTGTGTTACAGCGGTGTGTCAGTGTGTGTAACAGTAAATAAAATGGTGGGGATTCTCTCTCCCGTCAAACGAAACACTTGTCCACATTGTCTCTTTGACTCTGCAGGGGGAAAATTCCAGAAGCCAGTCTGTGGCACAGATGGCATCAGCAACGCCTGTAATTAATATAGCGCCTTTCATTAGTATCCCATTGCATTTAAACAGAACCAAATACAACCCAGTCAAAATGATCGTTAAGCTAACTGGAGAAGAAAGTTAAAGGCAAGTTTATCTCTGGAGCGAAACTGCAGGGAAGACCACAGATAATAGAAGACCTCTTTGCTCAGCCTGTCTGTCCGCCTGCTTCTCAAAGGAACTTGTGGCTGAGCTGCTTGTTCCACACCCCCACCACTGTTTGTGTAACCCGGTGCACCCTGTTCCAGGTCTTCAATGTTTCCCCCAGACTTCCCCAGGCCTGTGTTATGGGTCATGAGTGGGTTCGGTGCACAAATTCAGGTGGACCAGACTAATGGAACAGCCTCCCTGTGTAGTAGCGCAAGGACGCCACCAGGGGGCGATTTTAGACTCCCACTGCAATTTTAATAATAAAAAAATATATTTTTAAAATGCATCTTTCCAAACCCAAGGACACTGTACATAGTAACTATGAAAAATACACAAAAGACAATAAAAAAGTAAAAGAAAAAAATGAAACAAGAGCATACCGGTTCATACAGATAGAATGTGGGGTAAACGCACATAGGCCCTGTTTTCCAAATCTGTTTGTCTCTTCTTGTGCCCTTGTCCCAGTTCTCTCCCGGCTCCGAACCCTGCACTGAGCTGCCAGGCCAGGCTGGTGGAAGTCCAGCTCTCCCCCGTCCCTTCGGAAGACGTCGAGAGGAGGCGGGGGGGGAGGGAGAGAGACAGGGCCAGCCGAGACCCTTCGTCACACACACACACTCCTCTCCCTCACTCCCACCAGCAAAAGAGAACAGAAGAAACCCAGCAGGAATCAGCTGATCAATTTGAATCTATTTCCCAAGAACTATACAGAAGGTGAAAGATACACACAGGTGTGGGATATATCCAGGATATATAGAGGATGTGTGGGATCTATCCAGGATAATAGGAGTGGTGTGTCTGAGTCTGTTAGAGTGCTGTGATAGTGTGTATGAATGTGTCTGTGCGCGTGAGTGTTTGCTTGTGTCTGTTGAGAGTGGTGTGTCAGTGTGTACAGGTGTGTCTGAAAGCTACAGTGGTGTGTTTGTGTGTATGCAAGTGTGTATGATTGTGTGCATGAGTGTGTTGCAGTGGTGTGTCTGAGTGTGTGAGTGTGTTAGAGTAGCGTTAGTGTGTTAGAATAGTGTGTCTGTGTGTGCGAGTGTTTGTGTGTTAGAGTGCCGTGCCAGTGTGTCTGCACAAGTAGTGTCTATGAATGTGTTACAGTAGTGTGTCACTGGGTGTGCGATTGCATTAAAGTGGTGTATCAGTGTGAAAGAGTGAGACTTACAGTGGTGAAAGTGTGTGCAAGTATGTGTCAGTGTGTGCAAGTTGTGTAGGGGTTTTGTGAAAGTGTGTTAAAGTGATGTGTCAGTGTGTGTGAGAGTATGTTAGTGTTATGCCAGTGTGTGAAAGTGTAATGTGTTAGAGTGGGGTGTGAGTGTGTTAGAATGGTGTACCAGCGAGGATGAGTGTGTGTGTTTGTGCGAGTTTGTGTGTGTGTGGTGTATCCATGTGTGAGTTACAGTGGTGTGTCTGTGTGTACGCAAGTGTGTTAAAGTGGTGTGCGAGTTTAAGTGTGTGAGAGGGTCAGTGTGTGTGTGAGTGTGAGCACTAGTTACAGTGGTGTGTCAGTGTGTGTCAGTGTGTGTGAGTGTGTGTCCCCCCGCCTCACAGGGCGCAGGAATGCGCTGATGATAACACACGACCGAGGCAGGGCCCGCGCGCTGGGCGTTGCCCGACGAGTATAAAGACTCGGGCGGATTGGCGACTCTCCTCGCGCAGCGCTCACACTCTGGTCTCTCCCATCCTCGAGCTCGCCTCTGCCTCTCGGTAAGATCCTCGCGCCCCCGGGGCGACCGGTTCAGCACGGGACACTCGGGAACGGGGACAGGGTATCGTTTGATCGCAACGCCGAGAGTCTAGACATTTCTTAAAGCCCTCAAGTGGTAGCGCTTGGGTAAAGCAAAATAGTTTAATTCCGAGCGGTTTGTTTTCCTTTGGCATTTTGAGGCAAGCTGTATATAATTAAGTTTAATTAGGAACCGGGTTACTTCTTCCTAAATCCTTCCGAGCGCTGCAGCCCCGTGTTTATCCGAAGTAGCTGTACAAGCGTGTTTCCGTCTCCGTCTTCGTGTTGAACCTTCTGAAATAGGCTGGATCTGCATAAACGTACTTTATACAAGACCGGCTTCTGCGTACGACGCCCGTTTTCAAACTTTTGCGCTGGTCTGAAAACGTTGCAAAAAGACATTCGTGCTCGCTCCAGACGTTACTGGGCCAAAGGCAAAGTGGGGGCTTCGTGTTTGAGGGCGCGCGTGAGCGGGTTCGGGCTCGGGCTCGGGACTCGGGTTCGATCAGCCCGCTGCTGCTCAGCGCCTCGAGCCACCGTCCTCGCTCCAGAACCCGGGCCCACCCGCCTCGCGCGCGCCGCCCCCTCGAAGGAGCAGCGCGGCCGAGATTGAAAATCTGTGAGGGGATAAATCGGTAATCAG